TCAGAACCTGCACCTGAGGGCAGAAGGGACTCCGGGAGCAGTTGTCATTATTGAACTATGGGTTATGACTCGCTCGTGGGTAGTGAAATCAACTCAGTGGTTCAGGACAAGGTTGCTATCTGTCTTTTTAAATGAGATAAAACTGAATAGAATAAAAAAGCGAAGTTATAGAAGTACATTAAACCTAGTAAGAGTGATCATCGTTATGTGAAATTTTCGTTTCAGATGTATATGGGGCCAAGTCTAAAATGTTTCCTACTGTGTGTCACAGTGAAGTCTGAAAAGTCACCCCACCCTGTGCCTTACACTCTCTGGGAATCAACAAGAGTCCTGAATAATTATGACTATTTCGTACAATCATTATCTATGGAAGCTGGACAGCTAGCAGTGGTTTGGGAGTTACAAATTAATTTTTAGTTGTGCTTCGTTTTCCTTGGGGTTTGCTTTCAAGAGCAAAAGCTGCATATAGGACATTCCACAGTTTTTCCATAAAGAGGAGCTGGCATCCAGCCCCTCGCTCTTGAGACCTATGTTTTTAAAAGAGAAGCTTAGAAGCCACCGCACTCCCCCCACTCACGGCTGACCACAAGGACATCATTCAACGAACCTGGGTCTTGGATTTGTTTTCCCATCTGCTTAATACTTGACTTTGAGTGAACTTGTGGAGTCCTCTCCTCACCCCACAGCTACCCCCTCAATATGAACATTTTATATCGTGCTCTGAAAAACAACTGGCTGTGGCTTTAAGTACCCACAGCTGAAACAAACGTTCCCCGGGAAGGAAAAGTTAAAAGGAAACTTTGCCACAAGTCACCTTGTACCAACTAAAACACCATCATTGTGTTAGAAGAGAACATTTGACAATAAAGGTGTGCAGCTTCATCAGATATTTACATTTTGGGTCCTCCTAGCGGCAAATAGCTAGCTCCGCACATCTCTCTCTCCAGAAAGTCTCTCATTTGATGATGTGTCAATGAAAGAGATTTTATTCTGAACAAAAGGTGTAAATTATAGTAATGAGAAATGCGAGCAACAAATTTAATACTGAGACATTTCTCTGACATTCACTCACCCTTTGAAGAACTTCCTGAATCTTCAATAAATGAGAAATTCAAAGAAAGGCTTATTCTATTCTTCCTGGTCAGTGGCAAAGAGGGGCACCTTTGTGGACCCCAACAAAAAGCCTATTCAAGTTTCCCCCTTCCTTCTCTCATTGAGCAATTAGGCTGGAAAGTCTGAGCGGTGATGGCTCTGGAAATACTAAAATCAAGTCAACACAGAAAATAATTTAGGCCAAAATCTCTTACAAAAAACTTGGTGAAAGTCAAGCCTTCATTGCTGTAATAAAATCTAACTATGGCTTGCAAATTTAATGAAATGTGGGTCATCTTTGCTTTGAAGTTTTTCTGAAGAAGCCACATTCCATTTTAAGTATTTGTGTCCTGGCTGTCACTGCAAATGGAGGTTCTGGAACAAAAACGGACTTCTCCCTGGTGGCGTAATAGCAGTACTAGAGCATGATTAGTCTTATTAATGAGAAGGAAAAGGAAGGATATACGGGTAATTAGGACTCAAGTGTTCTTCTCTTTGAGAGCAAATAAAACTCTTCCTGTAGCTAGAGTTGTATGTATAATGAACATGAGAAATGAACACTGGCATGAGAGACAAGAGAAATAAAAACACAAACCCAGGTGAAGGAGCTTCATCATTTGCTATTACAAGCTCTCATCTCAGCCTCTCAAACAGACTGGATTGAACTGGATTCTAGCATCCACCAGATATAATGTGCATGTAGCTAATTTAGGTACCCCCCAAAAATGCAAAATTCTGAAGAAGACTGATAATGACTGAAACTCTTGAATGCCCTTCCTCAAAGTATATCACGCCTTTTACTGGCTGTACAACCTTAAGCAAGAGTTTACACCAATTCAAAAAACACATCCCCTCAAAACCCATTTCATTAGGATAACCATGGAGGTTATGGGAAATAATGCAGACAAAGCATTTAGGCCAATATTTTGCACATATGGACCACTCAATAAATATTACCAATAATCATCAAAGAGGTAGTGACAGTGAGCAGTAGTTTCCAAATATATTCGGTCTTCTTTGCCCCACAGCATTTAGGATTCCATAGAACTTGAGAACTGTTCTAAAGTACACTTATGCCAGCCCAGCTACCAAAATCACTGTTTGGGACCTTGTATTTGAAATAGTAACACTATTTCTAATCAGTATTTGTAAGACATTTGGGTAGTAATTTGGGAGACAAAGGGAGAGTTTCATTTATTTTTTAATGGACCAAAAAGAGCCCCAAGAATTTATGCCTCAAGAATGCCATCTACCTTCATTGAAGCACAATTAATGAGGTGTCTGCTCTGTAAACGTCAAGCATTGGTCAATTTCCTTTTAAACTTGGTGGTCTAAAGCTCTGCACTAGCTAGTCTGTGGGGCTAGTATAAAGACTTTAGTCATCACATTATTATTTACTTCTTTTGGTTAATCATTTTGTACTTACACTGGCTTTATGACTACTGTTGAATATATCAGCATATATTACAATTAGGGGTTCTCAGTGTTGTTTTTTAACTTCCTAGTAAACATAAAAAACAAAGTCTTCTCATAAAACATGCTATTGACAGTTAACCAGTAGTTGAGTCATGCAGGAAAGACAGGACTAAGGCAAATGCTATTATGATTAGAGCACTCCAGGTCATGACACTCACTGGATATTGTTTGTTTGTTTGTTTGTTTGTTTGTTTGTTTGTTTCAAAGCTATTACAACTAAGGGATGATGTGCTCCTCTTTTTCCTTACCAGTAAACATTTTAGTGGTAGTGGTATATTAAATAGCAAAAAGTTAGTGGCCATCCCTTTCCATTTCAGCCAGACTAACCCATTTCATTATGTATCTTCACTGTGACATGAGGAGGTCATTTGCTGGATTCTTTGGGTGGCTTAAGAGCTAAAAGCAGGAAAAAAACCCAATGGCATGGTTGTTAATATTGTTTCATAAATGCCCTTTCCCTGTTCCTTCTCTGCTTCTCCTTCTCCGTATTACATTTCATCAATTTCTCTTCCACTCTGTTTTTTTCTATTGCGCCAACGCCAACAGTTCACTCATAACATCAAATGAAACCCAACAAACTACGTAACACAGAATTTGTCAGTGAACCTAGGGAAGGGCATGGAATTTCGAGGACTTTATTCCACAACATTCTTTAGGTTGTTTGTTTGTGTGTTTGTTAATAGTGGTCATAGGGTTTAACAATTTAAAAAAAGGCGGAAAAAATCCCAGCAACTTGACTGTTATGTCTCACGTACTGTCAAGTATCCCTGGGGGAAGAAAAGAACTCTTAGCTGGGAATTACTGTTAACCCACCAAATTTTTCCAGTCCATTTCTTATTAATTCTTTCAACTTAAGACCCAACCTCTCTTCTGGTTAAAACACCTCCAATTACTTTAAACTTGCCCCACAGGAACCTTATTTCATATCTTCTTGGCACTACTTCAAATGACTGCAATATTATTAGAATGTTTTTAAGAACATTGCTTAGAGAGGAATCTACACTACAGATACCTAAATTGGCTTACAACAGCACTGTCCAACAGAAACTTAATGTAAGCCACATTATGTAATATTATTAGATAACAGGAGAAAATCTAGATGACCCTGGATATGGCAATAACTTTTCAGAGGCACAACCCATAAAAGAAATGATTAATAAGCTGGACTTCATTAAAATTAGAAATGTTTACTCTATGAAAGACAATATAAAGAGAATGAGAAGACCAGCCACAGACTGGGAGAAAATATATGCAAAAGACACATCTAATAAAGGACTGTTATCCAAAATATATAAAGAACTTTTAATACTCAAAAATAAGAAAACGACCTGATTAAAAAATGGGCCAAAACCCTAATAGACACTTCACAAAAGATATACAGATGGGAAAGAAGCATATGAAAAGGTGCTCCACATCATCTGTCATTAGGAAAATGCAAATAAAAATGAGACACCACTACACACCTATTAGAATGGCCGAAATCCAAAACTCTGACACCACCACATGCTGGCAAGGATGTAGAGCCACATAAACACTCATTCATTGCTGGTAAGACTGCAAAATGGTACCAACTGTTTGGAAGACAGTTTGGCAGCTTCTTACACATCTCCACCATACGCTACCAGACAATCCAGCAATTGTAATCCTTGGTGTTTACCCAAAGGAGCTGAAAACTTATGTCCACACAAATTCCTCCTCACTGATGTTTATAGCAACTTTGTTCATAATTGCCAAAACCTGGAATCAAACCAAGATGTCTCCTCTTGCATAGGTCAACAGACAATGAAATATTATTCAGCACTAAAAAGAAATGAGCTATCAAGTCCTGAAAATTCATGGAAGGACCTTAAACACATTAATAAGTGAAAGAAGTCAGTGGGAAAGACTACATACTGTGTGACACTCTTCATACAACTATATGACATTCTGGGAGAGACAAAACTATGAGGGCAATAAAAAGATCAGTGCTTGCTCCTGGTTAAGGCGGCCAAGGGGAAGGGATGAACAGGTTGAGCACCAAGGATTTCAGGGCAGTGAAATCCTCCATATGATACTCTAATGGTTAGATACGTGTCATTCTGTGTCTGTCCAAACCCACAGAATGTACACCAGCAAGTGTGAACCCCTTGGGTGATCGAGCTGTGTCAATGCAGGTTCATCAATAATGACAAATGAACCACTTTGGGATGTTGATAATGAGGGAGGCTGCACATGGATATGAGAAATGGGCATATGAGAAATCTCTGCACCTTCTTCTCAATTTTGCTGCAAACCTAAAAAACACCTTTAAAAAAATAAAGTCTTCAAAGGGGTCGGTGAGGGGGAGTAAGAGGAGGAGTCATATCTGATGGGGTTGAGAATGAACTAGTTTACAGTCAGCCAACAACACACAGTTATAACTCTCCTGTCCCAAACAGCGAGGAGCCACTTACCTTCCATACTAGGGGAAGGGAAAGCTATCGTCACTATCACAGGAAGAATCATCACTCCAGCTAGCATTGTATAACTGTGGAGGGAAGAAAAAAGAAATTAAAATAAAATAAAAATACATATAACTGCAGGATGGCTAATTAAGTACACCATTTTCAACCTGTCACTCAAGAACTTTCTTACAATCCCACTCATATATGTTGCCTTATTTCTTAGTATATTTAAACATCCCCCCTTTATCTGGCTCTAAACACATCATCTTAAGGAATGAAGATTTGCCTCCTAGTGGTGTCCACTCTACAACGACTTTCTCTGAGTCTGTTCTCTTACAATGAACTCCTTCATAAAGACATGAAAAATTCTCAGCTATAAGGCTAGGCATTCCCATAGGATTTTAGGTTCGGATTTTATCTTATCCTATTGAACACAAAATTGACACTAAACTAAAAACTCGGAGAAGCATGAATAGAGTGTTCTAAGATGTTAAAGAGTAACTGAATAATCCAATCCAAATTATGTTTGGGCCTTATTTCATAATTTAAGGAGTAAGAATTACTTACTCTTTTAAATAAGGATTAGAGGTGAAGCAACCTACATCATCACAAAACCCAAAACATAAAAAAGAAAAAAAAAAACCAACCCTACAACTTATCCCTCACCTACTGCAAAGCAATGCATTCTTAATTAATCTCAAATGTAATGCAACAGGAAGAAATCATGTAAATCTGTAACACATGAAAGTATAACTGAGTAAAAGCAAAAGATACCTGATACAAATTTCAAGCTGACACTCTCCTAAAACCCTAATACTATAATGGCAGAAGCTCAATATCCTGAGCAAAAGGACTACAGCAAAGATCTTTTGCATTTGATTAATTCCTGCAAAATTTCAGGAATCTGATGAGAGTTTGGATATACTAATTCTTTATTACAAGAATTAACTTTTTAAAAAACTAAACATGTGACTACTTATGATCATTTGGGTGGCAAAATAAAAAAGGAAACTGGTTAGATTTTTTAATAGGTTACGTTCTTGAATAGGTTAGTGTACCACCTTATTCTTGCAGCTTCAAAGTGAGGAGCAAAAGCCCATTGCTATCTAAGCCATTTGGAGTGGACACTTTCTGACTCATCTTCGTAAAATCAAATTTTTTGGTTGGTAGTCTGACTGTTCATTCCCCACACCCCCATCCTATCTTACCTCCTTCTTTTTAACTTGCCTATAATTACATTGTCATCTGTCCCTTCTCTAATACCAAGAAAGGGAAGAGTAAAGGAGAGTTTTATCTACCTTTTATATTTTTAAAAGCACATAAGCTTGAAAGAGCCCCTTTCACTATTATCGTTGGTAGTGTTATTATTTCCATGTTCACATAGAGCTTTTCTATGGTGAGCCCTTATTTGTGGCATACAAACACCACATCTTGGCTCCCAGGGCCCACCCGACCAGAGACTGACTCCCCCATCACCACCTCGTCTCCATGCCCCTGAACACGAACTGCCTGGAGCCTTCTTCTCCACGGCTCTCCTGCCAAAGTCCCTCATGTCATCCATGATCTAGCTCAAAACGCTGAAACATCACTCCATGAGCAGTGGTCTCTACCTCCTACCACTGGTCCAACACCACTCAGAATCAATTATTTGTCCATGTCAGTCTCCAGCACTAGACCACATCTCCAAAAGGGGTACATGCATCAGTGTCATGCACAACAATTCACTGAACTATGGGATGAAAATACAGATCTTCCTCACTTACAATGTAAGTGTCGCCATCATCATAAATTGAAAACATCATGAGTCAAAAATGCATTTCATACACCTAACCTACCAAACATCATAGCTTAGCCTAGCCTACCTAAAACATGTTCGGAACACTTACATTAGCCTACAGTTGGGCAAAATCATCAAACACAAAGCCTATTTTACAATAAAGTGCTGAACATCTCAAGTAATTTACTGAACACTGAAAGTGAAAAATAGAAGGGCTGGACGGAGACAGATGGTTGTAAATACATTGGTCGTTTACCCTTGTGATCGTGTGGCTGAGATCTGCAGCTCACTGCCCCGCCCAGCGTCACAAGAGAGGACCGTACTAGAGAGCGCCAGACCAGGAAAAGATCCAAATTCAAAATCTGAAGTGTGGTTGATACCAAATGCCTATTGCCGTTGCACTATCATAAAGTCAAAAAATTTTAAGTCAAACCATCATAAGTCAGGAACCTTCTGTACTAAAACTGTTATCTTATTAAAGATGTTCTAATTTTATAGAACAATAAATAACATGAACCTTTATTTGGTCTCTGTCTCAGTTCCTTATAACAGTCTAGTACTAAAGGTTATCTTCCACAAAGAGTGGGTGTTACGCTGTATGAAAGAGCAGACATAGTTTGCTCAGAGAGTACAGCCATGTACTAAACTTCTGAGGGTTCATTTTGAGGATACTGAGGAGCTTGTCCATGTGGGTTCTACCTATCAATTTTTATTCCATTAGAAATTAACGTGGAGAAATTTTTAAATATTGTATTTGTTTAAAAATAACAATAAACATACAACCCTATTTATTATAAACTAAAAAAGAACAATGTTCCCCACCCAAAAAGAAAAAAAAAATATAATGACAAAAATGGCATTGTTTTCCATTTTGGCAAATCTCCGTAATATCTGGCTTAGTAAAAAGCAACTGGATTCTCATATATGATTCTGATGAAATATTCCATTGGTTGAAGTACACTTAGAAAACCCGCCCTCACACATATATGTCATTGGATGAAGGAAGACTTTGTGGAATACCCAAGAAAGTCATGCAGATGATCTTAGACCACACTTTGAGAACCACTGCCTTACTCCTTAAATGATCGATCAGTCCTTCTACCACACCCAATAGCCACATGGCACCAGACAGTTACCTGATACCTAACAAAAATGTTAGTTCCACAACTTAAAAAATCTCATTAGCCTCTATAACATCACGGAAGTCAGCAGGTCTAATGGCAAGGAAGAAGGTTTGAGATATTTTTTAATGTGGGAATATTTTGTGTATGCAGCTAAGTATTTTTTAAATGAGACATAAACCGTGTAAGTAGATACTTAACTACGTCTCTGTATTTTAGGTTCAACCAAATCCTTATGCAGTATTCTAAGGCCAAAATCCCTAACTGAAAAGTCATAGGCTACTGGAGATTATACTTGAATATCTGCAGGGTTCAGAGTATAAATTTTTGCCCCCAGTGTACACCACCTCCTTTCTGTTTTTGTATAAGGTCCTCTATCCCTGGTAACAACTCATCTGTCTTTCCTTCGGACACAAGGGAAATAGCTATTCAGAAAAAAAGTTAAGACCTTCATCTTAATGAAGTTACCCCCTTTAAATCAGTCCATCTCCTACAATGTCTCAGGATCACCTTCCTCGGAGACAGAACAGTCCCTAGTAGACAGATACTCTACTAAAAAACAGGTATACCAGCAGGCAGAAAAGAGCTGCTTTCCAAATCCCATGGTACTTTTTGAACTCCATTTATAGAACAGGCTGATACCCAGTTAAGAAGCTGGTGTTTAGCTCAACTTCTAACACGTGTGGGCTCGAGACCAAGTTTGGCACTTCTCTTGTTCATCACAATTATACAGCTGAATAAAGCCACAGACACACTGCAATACATTAAAAAAAGTCAGAAAGTATTTTGATATTGGGCATGGAATAATCAAGGGCATAATACACTTCTATAGTCAAATTTTGGAATTCATATCAAACAATCCAGTGGGTAAATTAGTTTAAGAATAAGGGATGTTTTTGAAACCAAGATTTATGAACAGTATACAACTTGTTTTCTATGTTGAGGATGAGGGGAAAAGTTGTAAGATGAATTATGATTCTTTCCCATCAGAAAATTCTACAGAATATTCATATGCCTGGCCTGATGGTCTAAACTCATAGTTCATCAGTTTGTTCAAAACATAATTTGCCAGGTACCTACTCATTCAACAGGGACTTTCTCAATATTCTTCTCAATTCGATTTCTAATAACCTCCAAGTTAGAGAAAATCTTAAAAGACAGGTTGCACATTCATCCACCCCTACTTTGAATGGCTTTTACACCATCCACATGAAGTTGCTCACTCACCATTCATGACAGGTATCACTACTATTCCATGACAGTTTTTTTTTTATATCTCTTTACAGTCTCTGCTATGCCTTCCATAAGAAAAAAAAACAAAACAAAAACCATTCTCTTTAATATAAAACATAGAAGCAAAGCAGAAAAAGAATTGAGAGCAATTCTGCTTTCTCTTAAGTTATCTGTCAACATTACAACATTGCATCATAACAGTAATGGCATGTACTAGGCAGCCAGGCAGCCAGACACCCATGCTTAAGGATCATTCACGTTACCTCAGTCAGTTGCTATCCAGAACACTCTAAAATATTCTTATTAATTAAGCTCATTTATGGATAAGAAAATGGGTGGGGAAGGAGTAACTTGCTCAAGGATGCAAGATTAAACTCAAAACCATCTGACCACTGTTCAGGTCCTCATCAGCCGCCACTCACAAGCTTCATCAAACCACCTGCCACAGACTAGCAATATGCTTTTGTCATCTTTAACATTTCATCCAAGCTTAGAAACATTCTGTGCTTTAACTGTCTTCATTTTCCTCTCAGAAAACATCTTTACTCACTGTTACTTGGGCTACCTTCCAATTATGCCCTTTTCCATTTCTCTAACCTCAAACTTAATTTCATAGTCTCTGTAACCTTGGAGTATCTCCCCTGTCCCTGAAGAAAAAGATGCTGATGTGAAAAGAACAGCAAGCCACCCTTGATAGTCCATCAGGTGGTTCCTACCTCCCCACGGCACGCTTCAGGTCTCTTGAAATTCCCATCTTGAAATAAAAACAGAAATTAGTGTAAGTCAGGCACATCTGGGGGCAAAGTTAGGCCAGTAAGTCAAACTGCAGGCATAAAACAAGCAGGGAAGTTATACTTAAAACAACTACCTCCAAGTGAGACAAAATTCACCCATTTCACAACAACAGATATGTCTCTGTTATGCTCAACAGGCAAATATAACCCAAGGCAGCTCGCTCCCAACTACCTGGGCCCTTGGCAGAGGTGAAAGAGACATGGGCTGTCAGTTCCAGCCGTGAAAGAGGCTAAACCGAAGCCATCATACCATATAAGCCAAGTCAGGGTCTTTTCTCCAGTTCACAAATGACCTGTGAAATATTTTTAACACCACACTCTGTCTGACTGGCAATGTGCAAGCTGCCAGGGCTTGGTTTTATATAGACTTCACTACTGCTGGAAGGTTCCTGGCGGAGTGTTACTTTCAGAATATTAGCATGTAATTTGATCTTCCGTGATAGATGGATACAAATAGCTTCTTGGACAAGTCCTCCAGAACTGAAACCCAGCCCCTAGATCAGTTCATCCTGTAGTCAGAGGAAGTAACCTCAGATTATCTCAGGAAAGAAAGGGTTTTGACTGAAAGAGTTACACTACAAACTTCCCAGCTGTGACTGGATCCCAAGATATGGATTGGAAAGAAGGATTATATTTTTACAATATAATCTGTAAAAAGAATTCAGGGTGGTGGGGGTGGGAGGGGTGTGATGAAGCTTAATTGAAAGAAAATAAATGAAAGGTTTAAGGTAGGCTACCATGTAAGAAGCACAGGATCCCTAGTAAATTTATTTTAACTGTATACAGGACAAAATTGACTTCCATATGCCCCTACCAGATAACATAAGCTAAGCTTCTGTGATTCCCATGCTTTGATCACCCACCGCATGCCTCGCAGGTATCTCAAGACTGGGTTTTATTTTGACATGCTTGAGTACATGGCAACTGTCCCACATTTTCCACCTCATTCCTCTGTCTCAAACAGTCGTGGTTCTCCTGTTTTGTTTCAACTGATGGGACCCCATCGTCTCCCAGGTGTTTTGTTATATTCTACTAGGCAGCTCAGGGCTCACTCCTCTCCCAGCAGTTTAGAAACTGTGACTGGAACAATTTTTTTTTTTTTTTAACAGGGAAAGGCCCTATTATTTCCCACCCTCCCCACTCAAAAACTCTTGGAAGTGTAACTGTGGAATCCATTTAAAATCCCACTTCCTCCAAAGTCCTCAGTTAGATGCTGTCTTAGCCCTCTATCTTATTTCTAACTACAGCTGAAGTTTCCCCTTTAACTAACAGTGTGGACCTTTCTATCCCTCCCATTTACCAAACAAACGGCATTTCAGGCACCTGCCATTTGATACAACTGTCCCAATTCTAAGGCTGTAATGATTAACCTACAATAATTTGAAGGAGATGGGGCATAACATAAAAGAGATGTCAACACTACCGAGGTATATTTCTCTCCCTTTTTCAAAAAATGGGAGACACTAGAACATATTTCTGTGGAGGTTAGAAAAACCACCTTTTATACAAGCTCCTGAGCAGAGCCCTCCTTCGCATTCATACGCCACCCACATAGTGAAGCCCGTTCCTGCTGCAGACGCCCCCCCACCCCGCATTAATCACCCTGCCATATCTTCTTCATGGCACTTAGCACTGTGTGAAGTTTGTCGTTCATTAGTTGGCTTTTATTATTTGTCCCCCTCTCTCACCCCTCCACCCTCCACACACCAAATGACAGCAGCATGAGAGTAAGAACCCTTGTCTGGCTTATGGCTACAACCCCATGCCTGCAACATATTAGCCACTTAATATAAACTAAAATACATTAATCTCATCCTCTTAGTCCACGCTACACTTTAGTTTGGGTTGGAAGAAGGTGAGGTTTACAGAACTTGATACAACCTGGCAAGGAAATCAGTAGGAGAGGGGGTGCTCCTCATCCTCAATTCAATAAAGCAGCAACCAGGTAGCTGAGATAAATTAAAAGATATCATTTGTAACTTGGACTTCAGTTTTCAAGGGTGTCATCCAAGAGAAGCAGCCAAACAAAAAAACGGCTGGCAGGCTCTGGGTAAACCAGACAACTCCCTGGTGGACAATATCCCATTTGGAAGAACTGCTTGCAGGTCTAGCTGCAGACACCAGCTGATCTGCCCAGAGCCATCCCCAGTGACCTGTGAGACCGCCTCTGCAGCTTGGAAATACATCTCCTACAAGTCAGAGATTGACATATCATCTCCCCCTCCTCCCCACAGTCGTCTAACAGTTATCGACACTATTTGGAAAGCTACGCTTCCATGCCTATTAATAACCTTCAGAAAGAACCCTGAGGAAGTGTCAAGAGAAAAATAGATCTGGCTGTGGAAGCAAAGCCTCAATCAGTTACAATTAGCAATTAATACATTTGAACAAAGAGAAAGTTGTAACATCTTCTGGATCATATGTTATCTGTTCAGGAGGCTTAAAACAAAATACAAAGCCAATGAATTCAAAGAATGCTGAGTCAAGAACACCGGTCTTTACAAAAAGGAGCCCTTTTAAAGATCCCGTTGTTATCTATTTAAATAGACCAGCACCAGCTACAAGGTTTCTGCCCATTGATGATTCCAGGGAATTTCCCCTACAAGGCTCATATCATTAAACCTTTGTACTAATTTACATCTTTATAAAGTTTCTCCAAGTGACCTAAAATAGCAACCAAACCAATCTATTCTAAAATAATGGAAGAGCTAACTAATACTAACCTTTAAAAGGACTTTTTTAGGGGTCTTTCTCCTCTCCCCTCCCCCGACTAGAATGTGATTAATGGAATTCTCTCACAACTTAGCTTGATATATGCTTTTGCCAGTCAAGCAGCTAAAGCAAAATCAGATAATTGTGGTATGACTCAACAAATGCACAGCTGTTCATTTAAATATATCCATCAAAAGTATAAATATGATCATAAGAAAGAAAATGAGCTGTGTACATAAGGTCAGAGCACAAGCTGAATGGGTTAGCATAGAAGGAACCACAACAGAAAATAAGGAGGCAGGACATTCCGTATTCCTGGTACAGAGAAACCAGGAAACGGATGTAAACAAAAAACCAGCCACCCAACCCCAAAACACTCACTGACCTAAAGAAGAAACGAATGGCGAGTTAGAAGTAAAAATAAATGTGCTCCGCTAAGTGGAGAGAGAGAAACGAAATCTAGGAAATCGATGAGGCTGACAAGTACACAGAGCAGGAAGCCTACAAAGCAGAAACCATAAATGTCATTTGTTAAGAAAAACCAAACCAAACAAAGACCCAGAGGCAGAGGAGAACAGGAGAACAGGATTCTCACCTCAGTCCTGCCAGGACTGATCATGAAATCATGTAAATACAGGAATGCCTCCGAGGGTCCTAGAGCAAATAGCTGAAAAATACCACTGCGTACCTGCCTGCCCTTCTGGGGGTTCTACACGCAGGAGGGTGTCCCCCGGACATGAAGAAGAGGAAAGCCAGAAAACAGAAACCGTGAAAGGGAGGGGGCAGTGCCGAGAGAGAAGGAGGTGCCCGTGTCAGCCTGCAGACTCCACTCCTTCCTTCTCCCTCCCGGATGGGCCAGGAGGCGCTGAAGGCTTTGATGCCTCTCTTCTTTTCATATGTAATTCAAAATAACAACAAATATAAAGAACATCTAATCCATATGGTGATTCCCCAGGTTTCTCTGAACCCTCAAAAACTCAAGTTCTTCCTCAAAAATAGTCTCTCTGGTGGTGGGGGTGCTTAATTTGATACTTAGCCTGACTACCCAATCATCCTACAAGGGGAGCCATTCACGTTCTCCACATTTACAGGCAAACCACTCTCATACTGTTAGAAGCAGAGACCATTTCAACAATCACCAACTCACTGAACCCCAAGTCCCCCATAAATACCCTCTTCATCCTTTCGCAGAAAACTTTCTGGAAAGAGCAATCCACACGCCCCCTCCCCAGCCTTCCCGAGTCCATCACTGCAATGCCTCTTGCTAAAGGTCTGAGTCCTTGTAGACCCTCACTATTGTTCACATTCGCAGGGCAGAGTCCTTGAGACTCGGATTCCCATGCCTCAGCCCCAGAGATTGTAAGTCAATTGACATGAGATGAGGCCCAGAAGTCCCCTCCCCCACGCCCCCAGCAACCCAGGGGACGCTGAGAACAGACTCACTGCCGTGCTGATGGCCTCCTTGTCCCCTGGGGTCTTCCCTTGCTGGCTTTCAGAGGCTCCATGCTCTCTGGTGTCTTTACTTACATGGTCTGGACCTTCTCAGGTTCCTTGGATGGGGCTTTCCTCTTCTGCCACCCATCGCTTTACCTTGGTGTCCTACAAGGCCTCACATCTCAGACTCTTCTTTTCACTTACGATGTTACCCTGTTCCAAGCCCGGGCTGAACCACTGGATCAAGAATGGAATCTCTGCTTACTCATCCCTCTGACCTCTGCCTACTCCTTATTACTCTCTTCCTCTACCATATACCCTTGTCTTTTCACTATTTATAACATTAATTTTTTAAAAATCTTGACAGGTATTTCACGGTACACAGAAATAGAGAAAAGTATAATGAACCCTATTTTTGACCTCCAGTTTCAAATATTAGCAACATCCTACCATCCTGTTTCAAAAGTAAGCAATCTTATTTCCTCTATTCTGTCCATTTTCTTCCTGAGGTATTTTAACAAGAATCCCAGATGTCACATCATTTCACCCACAGATTCTCTAACAAAGAAGGACTTTCCCTAACCATAACTGTAAAACAATCTTACCAAACAAAATTAAAAGTACTGTTCCTCCAATTAGCACCTAAAAGCTGAGGCAGTACTAAAATTTGCTAAAATATCCCTCAACCACCACCACCCCAGTCCCCTTACAGGGAGAAGGAGGGATAGCATACCAAAAAGAAATTTTTTTCATCTCTTTTCAGTTATCATGGGACTGTGGCCATTTTGAGAATACCGTGTGTGTGTATAATGTG